GAAAGTGGGTCACCAACGTACACCGCCACCGAATCGGGAATTTCGGGGACAAAGAGAATCGCACGTTGAGTGCTCACTTCAATCGCACCGTACCAATCGGGCTCCAGACCGCCAAATGCCCAGTGAAAGTAGGACTCCTAAATTGAGAGAAACATCGACCATTAAAGGACGCTTCAGACGTTCAGAGCCAACAAAGTAAGGCACAACGGTCAACGATGGGAGCGGTTAAATAAAAAAATCAGGCTCCTCTAGGAAGTCTCTAATGGACCAGCATTTAAGACTGCGGAGAAAGCTCCTTACTTACCTGCCGAAAGACGTCATCACAATCAGAGCCACCATGGGAAACGGCGGAGCCTCCTTGAAGAAGAATATAAACTCCATCGAGGTTCTGGGTTGGTGCGCCCCCTGTTGTGGCTGCAAGAGCCGACCACACTTTTTGGATACGACAACAGAGGTTTGCACGGTTCAGCTTATGCAGCTCCATTGGGACCGCCAATCCATGGACGCCCAACTTAAAAGTGGCTCCAGTCGAAGACATTGCTGGGGAGAAATGATGCTTACTTTACAACAAAGCATAGAATGTTGAAGAATTCGAATGTATGGCTCTTCTAAGTCTTTGTTAAACATAAAATAAGACAGAGAATAACCGCTAATGGGATTATACAAGTAGCTTCTCAGTGAAGAGGCCAACTTATTGTTTGTACAGATTCTCACACGGTCATGAAGAAACTCAAGAGAAATCGTATGTCTCGAAGCATGCTTCGATCGAGACTGATTTACAAAAACTAAGCTCGGACATTGCGAGTTAGATTGCAATTAATTCTATCTATTTCTTAAGAAGATCTGATAAGGCCTGAAATGGTCAGTTTGGAGTACAAACTGAACAACCAACGTCCAAGCGGCCTCGACTTAGTGAATTTGACGCACAAGGTGTGTGGTCACACAATGGTCAACAATTTCGGCTTCTGCGTAAGCACACCAGGGGCCCGATTCCAGAGGGTGTTGATGTTCAACAACAGTTCATCTGCATTGTGGGCACCGGTTTTCCTTAGCTAATCGGTGCATAACCCTCGGCGACAAGATAGTGTGTGTAAAGAACATTGTTCAGGACAGAACAGGGCAGGTTCTACTAGTATACAGCAAGTTCACTAGCATCACTGATTACTTCCTGTATCCTGCAGTCATCAACCATACGAGTGTACACAGCTGATATCTCAAAAACCATTGACTGTGCACACCTACCCATGACCTTCTCAAATTACGTTTATATTCCTCTAGATAACTCCTACGTATTAATGAAAATATTAGGCTATGAACAAGCTTTCTTCGTCACTATCACTCCCGTCCTCTCCATGGACAATGCTCGTTAACCCTACAAGCACACAGTACCTAGTTAATGGTTAACGAGCATCAAGCGAATGTAGTGGACGTAGTTATAGGTGAAGCTACTAACACCTATTTTTCTCTGTGTGGTTGAAGACATCCATGGCTTCCTCTTCCAGCGATGAGGAAAGTGGTCGGCGAAAATCTACTAGACAACGCCGTAACCCTTTTGATGAGCGCTACTGGGAACTTAGCGAGCCGCCAATGTCACCGGCAGTAAGTTTCCATATACTTACGAAGGTTTCTGTTTAGGATCAAAAAGATTCAGATAGAGAATCCAGCACGACGACCGACTAAGTACACAGGTAATGCTAAGTCACACTAATTTTCTTTGTAGTGTGCCCTGACCTGTCCTGCCGGGCAATGATTACTGATATGCAGGCTCAGATGCGGCGACAAGGAAAAACAATTGAATTTATGCGTAAAAAACTGGCCTGGCTCATAAAAAGCAACTTAAGAATTCTTGAGAACCTGCACACCATGAAGGTAAATGATAATCGCCGACAGCCCGCCCCAGGAAACTCGGAGGACGCCCTCCCTACCAACACCCTATGGCGGCCCATTTGCACAAAGTCCTACATCCTGGAGGTCAACAGCAGACTGCAGGACCCACAGGTCAAGTCTCATCTGGTAAGGCTTATCAAATTTCATGACATTCATTAACCAACTTCCTGGTATGCCTTGGTGGACGTAACACCGACGACTTCGTGAAGAGGGTATTTTATGCCCTATTTGACGACGAGGCAATCGTCCATACAAAATTCAGGGGCAAAAAGAATAAAGAAGGCCTGTGTGGTTCACAGGCGTATGAGGTGAAAAAGGGTAGGCCCTTGCTTATATGTAACTCTGCATGCTAAACAGACATTTACACAGCTTGAGACAAAGGAGGGCGGGTGGACGTTTATAAACTCGAGGCCGCCTTCACAAGGCAGCTGAAGAGATCCCTCGACGCCCAACGAAAACGCTGTTCTCAGCCAAATTCTATACCAGATGACTCTGGTGGTTAGTGAAACTAAACTCTTATTACACATACTTGGTATAGAATCGTCAGCAGCCGCGGGAGGAGTTGTGCCGATAATACTTGTAATTTATATTTTTATAATAAATCCTTATTTTTACTTCGTCAAAACGCCTTCATTCAACTTTCTTGCGGAAAGCGGGGTAACGTAGTTCGTTTAGTAATATATCGGATGGGAAGTGCGTAAAAGAGCATTGGTAGGTGCTAAAACAGAAAGGTCGCAAAGTAAAGGTGTCCCGCAGCTGCATAGCGCCGTATCGCGACTTTTGACTGTTGTTTCCATGGCGACCACATGGACAAAAGCCGCTATAAATCGGTCGTTGTAGCGCGGCTTTTCCACAGCGAGGCGCCGTCACCTCGCTATGGAATTGCTACCCTAGTAGCAATAGATATCGAGTCGATATACGTGAATAGCGATTTATCGAGATATCACGTAATTGGCCACCTCGCTCATGCAATCTGACATTTCATTGGTTGCCGTTCTTTAGTCGTCTATCGATTGCGCGCACACGCGGCCGCGCCATTATTTCGCGTGAGCGGCGTGGAACGCGTGAGTTGACAGTCCTTGCACTTACTTTCCATTACTGATTTATATCTCTTGTTTGCTACTCTTCCATGTTAACTATGTTTAGGCAGGGATCCCGGAGAACACGAATACGTCGTATTAAGAGGTATGGAAATGAGACTTTCCAGTAAGTGATGGAAAATAACACCAGTATACCTTTTTAGGAGCCACAGGAGAACGCCGATGACTTTCGAAACCAAGTACTGGACAATAGCTTCCGAAAGCAATTGGTATGCTACCATATTTGTAACTCCCTCTTGCATTAGACGTCCTACCTCACATGCCTTGGTGGGCACAATGTAGATGACTTCGTCAAGCAAATGTTCAAGCAGGATGTTCAATGAGTGATGGACCATCATCCACGCAAGATGTTTCTATGTAATAAACCTTTTTTAAATTATTTTTTAATCCAATAAACTTTTTCCCTTCTAACACGCCTTCAAAATAGTTCTTTTTGGTCGATCTGGTTACCTTGGTTGCAATAGCCACGTGAATTTTCTCGTTCAACGCGTTATAAAGTGAGCAACAGCAGGCCTAGTAAGCCGGGATGGGAATGACTAAGGCGAACAGACAATAATAAAATTAGATATGGGTATAAGAACAAGGAACCGCAGCATGCGCGTGCCCTAACCTGTCCCTATCGCCGATTTCGTAGTATCTCGAAAAATAGATATCGTCTCGATATCTAGGCCGCGGACAAAATCGATATATACTCGATATAGGTATCTCGAAAAATAGATATCTAATAGATATCGTCTCGATATAGTTTGCTACTAGGGTATAAGGGTTTTAAGGGCTAATTAAAATTTTTCACAAGTTGGAAAACGATTGCAAAAGACATCAGGTAGTTTGTCTCAATGATTGCATTCCCGTCGTTTGCGCAACACGATTGCGATTTCACCAAAGTACCTAGTTTTTATATGCTGAATCCCACAATTGTGGAACTTTAAAGTTCCAGCGTGAAGCAAATTTGCTCTGTCCATACTTAACTACTATCTTCGTAATGAATATTGTAAAATGCATACTTCTGGCAAAAATAGTGAACATTTCACGAACAAAAAACTATAAAGTTTTGGAAACTAAAGAGTAAGAACCTGGGGATCTGACACACTCGTCCGCGGCGCGCAACCAAAACAGAGTACAGATTTGAATTAAAAGCCAGTTCGACCTTGACGTGACGTATGTTTAATTAGTAAAGCTAAGCAAAGAAAGGCGGAGTCTAGTGAGACGATGTGAATGGCAACTATACTCCAAATGCATGACTTCTGTTTTTCTTCTTGTACCCTGAAGTATTATATGCATAGATGGCACTGCGTCCTATTACCTTTGCAAACAAATTATATTACTTTTAGCTCGGTCAATGGTGTAAATTCAAGGTCGCCCGGATTATGTACAAGTCTACGGACTCCGCAATAGTAGTACATCAGTTTCAAAGAATCTGCATTTTTATTCTGTTTAGACCAAGCACGTGTCCAGGCGTCAGCACTTCAGAAGTCCAGTGGGTAATGACGAGAATGAAAACAAAAGGCCGATAAAGCTTGAGCGCCACACACGACAGTTTCCTCTGTTGATTAAACCTGAAACTTTCCCAAAACCCTATGTCCGTCAACGGAATGCGTTAAGTGAAGATTTGGTCAGTACTTGGAGAGCTATCTGATTGTCTTTGCGCGAACAATCTCGAGACGTTGTAGATTCTTCGAGGCAGGAGCACATGTTTCAGCACCTCAATAGAGGCTCGTGCGCATCGCTTTGTTTCAGATTACTTACACCGTACACCATGCACCTAAAGCACATAGATACAATTTAACTCGTGAATATGGGTTGATTACAATCACTTGGGAGGAGTCAGCTGCCAACACAAGTCATATATGAAGAAGAAGAAAAAGAAGAAGAAGAAGAAGAAGAAGAAGAAAAAAAGAAAAAGAGGAAGAAGAAGATGATGATGAAGATGAATAAGAAGATTGGTTCTCAAGAACAGGTTTATTTTGATGCTGACGTTTCGAAGAGCTCGGTCGGCTCCCAATGTTCAAAGCTTAGAATGCCCTTAATCGATCAGGGATTTCAAGTGGCATGTTGTGTTTACGCGGTGAGGAAGAACGAGAGCCGTCAGACCAACCCCCGACAAAGGTTCAATCAGCTTCCACCGATGGAGGTGTGACTCACATAGCACGCAGGCAACACGTCCGTCAACCATCTCTTGAGAAGCCTATGCAGTGAGAGGAAAGAAAAATCCACCAGCATGTGGCCGACCAACATAGCAGGTCACTTGAAATTTCTGATTGGTTAATTGCACTTTACGCCTTGACAGCTAAGATCCGACCAATCTCATTGAAACGTCAGTATCTAAATAAACCTGTTCCGGAGAGCCCGTCTTCTTCTTTTTCTTCTTCTTCAAATCACCAAACCGGACCTTTAAACTTTGCCAATCGGAAGAAGTCATGTCATTCTAGATGTTAAAGTGGCCTGTTTTCAGCCAAAATATATTTATTTTTTCAAATAGGAGAGACAGTTATTAAAGCTTGGCCCAGGCATGTCGTTTATAGATTGGGCATATTAACAATATAGTCCCCGGTCCTGAGAAAGCGCACTACAAACAGACAGTTCGAGTAATGCGATACATCTAATACATACGAAAAGGCCGCTAAGTAAACTGTTGACCTTCCTACTTAACCTGCGATCCTCAAAGAGAAACCTGGATTCTTAGACAAATAATCAGTGACTAAAAGTCCTCAAAGATTTAATGCGGTCAAGAAATGTTTGCTCAATATTGTCTCTCTGATCAAGCCGCTAGCATAGGATTTTCATTATATTCAGGGCATTACTTGCACAGAACTTCGATCTGAGGTCGTCTCATTAACTGGTACCGAGCTTAATGAGTCACAGCTTTCTACGGGTAAGCGTTCAGATTTTTTAAAAGCCCGGTGTCCTTCTTCTCATGGGCACTGTATAGAAGACAGTATAAGTAAACTATGGGCTCTAGTCGTGAAAAATCCGACTAGGATGCAACTACTGCGCAACGACTTTTTGTCATAGAATACTAGTGGTGGTTTTCCATATGGCATTCATTTGAAACGAGACCTCTGGCAAAACCAAATCACGGGTCGAGTATGAAGCACTGTTGGATGGTAGACAATGTTTTTACGACGTATTTCATGGGGCTTTTGCGGTTTCGTCGACAACCAAGTACCTGACTTGAGCCAACCTTGCGAAGAGATATCATCATTAAATTTCCCGAAAGCGCTCATTTTATCGGCACGAGAATGCGTCTTATTCTCACCCTACTCTGCTTTAAAAAGTCCAGGCACTTACTAACTACACGTGGAATGAATAGATCGCAGTTTGACTACGATTCGGATCCTCGATTTACGACGTTTCCGTGACTCTGGATTCAGCGATTGAGAAGTGAGATGAACTACCAAGAATGCAAATGAAGTGTCGAATAGTTCGAAAAAAGGGACCGAACACAGCGCATGAAAGAGTGCATAGTATAGTAAAACATAGGCTGCACGTGGATCACATCACTAATAGCAGCAACTACAAAAGACGCAAATTTATAATGCCAGAGCCCAATATATCAGGGGCTGGGGAGTCGTAGATCTACCGGCTGACCGGTAGATCTAGGGAGATCAAGGCATCTGCCTATCTTTTGCAAAATTCGTAATAGTTCGCGATCATCAAGCAAATAAATAAATAATTTTTATCAAAGACCATCGAAGTCCGATCAATCAAATAAAAATAAATTTTCATATGAATTTTAGGCGACGTAGACGGAATCTGTACAAAATGCAATTCACTGTTCCTGAATTAGAAGTCAGTTGAGAAGAGCAATGAGCGAGCTGTAAAAAATGATTGGATTAACTTTACAGGAAAAAAACTGTCGCTAATAATAAGAAGAAAATGCGGGCAGGAATGGCTTACATGTGGCGGTGTATAAGGGATTGTACTCGGACATCGATATAGTAGAACTTAATGTCAGCCGTGAGGGGTACGTTTGCGGGTCAGACGGGACTGGCCTACATGTGGTATTGCATAAGGGATTCAAAACGGACATCACCCGGGGCGGAATTCATACACCGCATGAAACTATTCACGTCACAGAGGCCAGACGAGAGGAAGCCAGACGTGATCGGCCACATTACGCTTCGAGCCCAGCCGAGAAGTGGGCAAGGGGGTTACGACCAAACTATTAGTAGACGGCGAATACTGAGGGTTCAGCAGTAAGCGTCGACAGACCGCTTGGAGACGAAATGAGAGAGATGACATCAAGAACCGCGAAAATCGTCGCTCGGAGGCGGAGTGATAACAGTGGATTTACTAACCAATTCAAAACAGTGGCTTGCAAAGTTATAAATAAGGTTTTCCACTTGATCAACCACCAAATCGTAGGACGACACTTCTTAAATTCAAGAAGCTGAGTGTTCGGGAATGAGACTGTTAAAAGTGCCTTTCTACTTTCTGTTGTAAAGTGGTTGCGTGATTTCGACATGGATACCAGTAACTTAAGCGATGACCTAATTTTGACGAAAGATTATTCCAAACGAAATCATATTTGGAAGCAGAGAAAAGGGAGCGCTTAGTAGTAGTGCAAAGAGGCGGCGGAATCACCATGCAGGAGTTGCGCGTGGCATAAGACCGATCTCTCGGAGTGAGAGTGTCAATGAGCGGGAGATTGGAACTAAAACTGATGCGAAAAAGGAAGCAAAGACCAGCTTCGAGTCTTCTTACCCACAAAAACTTAATGTTCGCCAGCTGACATCTCTAAGTATAAGAAATACCGGACGAAGCTTGAAAGAACAGTTTTTGGGTGAAAACCCTCTGAACATTTTCGATTTTATTACGGTCGCAGTCGTTCATTAAACCGAAGAAAGGACAGCAGTATTCGAGGACTGAAAGAACAAACATTTGATAACGTCTTCGCTTCATTTCCGGAAAGAAAAAATTATGCGATATGAATTCACACATCTGCACGGCTTTAGGAGAGATTCTATCTGCATGACATGGTCAGACAAATTTATTTGTATAACGTAAACCTAGGTCCTTTATGGGGAAGCATTCTGAGGGTTAGTTATTCTGAAAAATTATGGGACTAGGAATTCTGCAGGAACTAAAGACATGAAACTACACTTGGATGATGAAATCCCCACCTGCCATGTTAAACCCCATCTGCTTACGCGTAATAAATCGGGATTAATTTTTTCAACAAAAACGTTTGCGGTGTCCTTAGAATATGAGTAAACACATCTGAGGTCATCAGTATAAATAAACGTGTGCGAATTTCTGAGTTCCGTCAAAATAGCCTTGGTGTAGAGAGGGAAGAGTAGCAGATCCAGAACCGTACCTTGATGTATGCCACTCGTGATCGAGTGAGGTGTCGAGTAGCCATTAGCGACCATGACTTTCTGATATCGGTTGGATAGATAGGACCTGATGAATTCAGGTAGGGGATGCTTGATGCCGAGTAGCAGACCCAGAACCGTACCTTGATGTATGCCACTCGTGATCGAGTGAGGTGTCCAGTAGCTATTAGCGACCATGACTTCCTAATATCGGTTGGATAGATAGGACCTGGTGAAGTCAGGTAGGGGATCCTTGATGCCGAGAGCATCTAATGCAACCAATAGCCGTCTATGGGGCAGCTTTCCGAAGGCTTTGCCAAGATCAAGGTAGATAACTACAACTGACCGCTGCTTATTACGAAGAGAAGTGTTTATAGTAAGAAGTACCAAGTGGCAAGATTCGTAGGATCGTTCAGATAAAAATCCATGCTGATTACAGCTTAGAAACCGATCAGCTAAAGGAAGTCAAGAATTGCATTGAAAAGTATCCTTCCAAGTAGTTTTGTGAGAGACGTTGTTTTGTGAACGCCCCGATAGTTATTAACATCGGACCGAGATCTCGACTTGAAGACAGGAATGATAATTGGCGTGGCAGTTGGGTGCATGAGGTGTGTGAGTGTTGATGTCTAGTGGGGTGGTGGTGATGGGAGATAGGGAGTGAGTGAATGTGTGGTGTGGCCGGCGGTTGTCTACGGCAGGTCGTCGTGGAACAGGACTAACGGGTGTAGAAACACACTTATACAGAAGATACCCTCACCCGGTCTAGTCCGACGGTTGATGCGGTTACCCGCTTTTAGTCGTTAAGCAGGTTGCACAGATAAGACCATAAAGAGTACAGCTAAGAGTATGAAGCCGCTTAATGGCTCGTGGTGCAACCAACAAGTGTACCAGAATCAAGGTGCCAAAAGTCACGCCTATACGGATTATCCCCTAAATGAAGACGTTCAATACTCCAAAACAACAGTTCAACCGTTGCAAAAAGAAAGTCACTACTGTCCCGGAAGATAGGTTGATAAAAATTTACTTCAGAATAAGTCTACAGTGAGGTCGACATGCGATGCATCTGTTGCAGTTCGCGTCTCCTCGCCCTCCGCCTTTGTCACGCTGTCGTCCTGTACGCCTCACACTCCTTGTCGATACGCTGCTGGGACGCGCGAGGCTCGTCACTAGCCTCACGAGTGCTCGAAGACAATCAACGCTTTCCCCACTATGATTGGCTGGCGGACGTGGAGGCAACGAAGGGCGCACACACGCGCTGACATAACACCCCGAAGGCCGACACAGACAACAGCTTGCATGGAGCGCGCTCGCGGCGACTGCCTACAGAGCCCTTGTGTACGCACTTCCTCAGGCAGTAAAGGTTGTCCAACTCAAACCGTCTTCCCTGACTTTTGATTGGAAATCTTTATCTTGTCGACCACACAACATTCGACAATTGGTGACCCCTTTGCGAACAGCAATCTTTCTTCCTAATCTACGATAAAGCCAGGCGTTGATCATGGACAACTTTCCACCGGAAGTGCAGCATATTTTGGCACCCGCCTCCGGCATTCTTTTGGCAACGCAACTTACTCAGATGGCTGATCGTCCTATGGAGATGCACGGGTCTTCCAAGCCGTCACTTTCAGCACTCTCAACTCCCTCAACTCATCCTACGTCTCCCCTTTCACAGTTAGAGATCGAGCTCAGCAGGCTGGCCGATGATATAGTTTCACTCCAGAAGCAGACAGTCTCCCCTCATTTCGGAGCCAACCGCAGGCGTCCACCCCGCATCTCCAGTCTTCACATTCAGCTCATCCAAACGCAGCTGCCATCTGATGGTACCACACCACATTTGGTGTTAAAGCCCGTCGCTGAATCTCTCCCTGCTCCTTCACCACCAAGCAGAGCAAACAGGTAAAACCGGTTAACCCGAAGGTCAGTGCAGCCAATCTTCTCGACAGCTCTAACTCTGGTCGCACCTTCTGTGCTTGCGACACTGCGACTCGCAGACGTTTCCTGGTGGACACTGGAGCCCAAATCAGCGTTCTTCCTCTAACTGCAGCTGATCGTCGTTTTCCTAGCCCTGGTCTTCACCTCCAAGCTGTCAAATGTTTCCCCATTTCCACTTTTGGAAGTCTGTCCCTCACTCTGAACATTGGCCATCGTCGGTCATTCATCTGGATCTTTGTGATTGCCGATGTCCCTCATGCAATCCTCGGCTCGGACTTTCTTACCGAGTTCGATCTCCTTGTTGACTGCCGACGTGCCCGTCTCCTCGACCGGAACACCGGTCTGTTTGTTCGTGGACTAACTCCCTTTACTGCCCCCGCCAACTTATCTGTCTTAGATACGGATATTGCTAGTCCTTTTCGGCAACTGCTGCTTAGTCACCCCAACATAATTAATCCACAGTTTCGCAGTGGTGAGGCTCAACATCATGTTGTGCACCATATCCGCACCTCAGGTCCTCCCGTGTTTGTTCGACCGAGATGACTAGCACCGGCGCGTTTTCAGACCACGAAGGCGGAGTTTGAGCATATACTGCAATTGGGAATAATTCGACCGTCCGAGAGCCCTTGGGCGTCCTTCTGCACATGGTGCCCAGGGCGACATGAGGGGACCCTGTGGCGACTATCGTGCCCTCAACAGCGCTACCATTCCTGATCGGTACCCTGTGCCTCATCTTCAAGACTTTGCTGGAGCCCTTTTCTGTAAGGCGGTTTTCTCAAAGATTGCTCTGGTGCGTGCTTTTCATCAGATTCCAGTCGCCCCTGAGGACATCCCTAAAACCGCCGTCACCGCACCCTTCGGTCTCTTTGAGTTCATCCGCATGTCGTTTGGTCTACGTAATGCCGCCCAAACGTTGCAGACGTTCATCGACCATGTCTTACGTGGCCCACCCTGTGCGTACGCCTACATTGATGACCTCTTGGTGGCCAGCCGGAATGAGGAAGAGCATAAAGAGCATCTTGCCTTGGTGTTCGACCGCCTTGACAAGTTTGGCGTTGTCATCAACCTGTAAGAGACAAACCCACTAGTTGGGCACAGCGAGTAGGCTATCCAGGATACGAAAATAGCAGTGTCCCAACAGTTACAAACTAGTAAATAAGAACAAAGTC